TTAGGCTGCTTTAGACTGTGACAGTTTCTTACACTTTCCTTGTTTTTGATGATCTTGACAGTTTTGAGGAGTACTAGTTAAGTATTTTGTAGACTATCCCTTAATTTGTGATTGTCTGATATTTTTTCCTCATGATTAGTCTAGGGGTTTGGGCTGTCAGGAGGAAAACTACAGAGGTAAAGTGCTATTCTCATCACCTTATATCAAAGGTACTGCTACTGACTTCCCACTAATGATGTTAAGCTGGCTGAGGTTGTGTTTATTAAGTTTCTCCACTGTAAAGTTATCCTTTTTTCCCCTTTTCTATATTGTATTCTTTGGAAGGAAGTTAATATGCTCCACCCATACTTAAGGGGTAGACAGTTTTGATCCATCTCCTTGAGGGCAGAGTATGGGGAAAGGGCTCAGAGTTTCCATGCCCTCTCCAAGCGAGCCACTCTCCGTGAATCTCCACATGTTCACCCACCTGGAAGCTCTCCAAATTCCTGTCCTTTTTGGGGGTTTGTGGAGGCTTCAGTACACAGGCATGATTGATTAACTCATTGTCCATTGGCAATTGTTTCAACCTCCAGCTCCTCTCCCTTCCCCAGAGGTCAGGGTGTGGGGCTGAAAGTTCCAACCCTCTAATCACGTGTTTGGTTTTCCTGACAACAGCTCCCATCCTTAGGTTCAGTCCAAAAGGCATTTCGTTAACCTAACAAGAAACACCTTTAATGCTCTCATCACTTAGGAAATGCCAAGGGTTTTGGGATTTCATAAAGAGGGACAGACCAAATATATGTTTCCTATTATAAACCACGATATCACAGACCTGAATAGGTATTTCTCCAAAGAAGGTATACAAATGGCCAACAGGTACAGGAAAAGGCACTCAACATTGCTAATCATCAGGGAAATGTAAATCAGAACTACAATGAGATATCATCACCTCATCTGTTCGAATGGTTATTACCAAAAAGGCAAGAGATAAGAGTCGGCAAGGACTTGAAGGAAAGGGAAACCTTGCATGCTTTTGTGGGAATGTAAACTGGTATAGCCACTGTGGAAAACAGTATGGAGATTCCTCAAAAATTAAAAAATAGAACTACCATATGATCCAGTAATCCCACTTATGGGTATATATCCAAAGGAAATGAAATCAGGATCTTGAAGATATATCTGCACTCCCATGTTCACTGCAGTATTATTCACAGTAGCCAAGATATGGAGACAACCTAAGTATCTGTTTAAAGATGAATGGATAAAGAAGATGTAGCATATACATACACAATGGAATACTATTTAGCCATAAGAAGAAAATCCTGCCATGTGCAACATCATGGATGGGTCTTGAGGGCATTATGCTAAGTGAAATAAGTCAGAGAAAGCCAAATACTATATTGTATCACTTATACCTAGAATCTAAAAAAGAAGTCGAACTCAGAGAAACAGAGGGTAGAATGATAGTTGCCAGGGGTCAGGAGTTAGGGGAAATGGGAAGATGTTGGTCAAAGGGTATAAACTTTAAGTTATAAGATGAATAAGCACAGCATGGTGACTATAGTTAATAATACTGTGCTATATACCTGAAATTTGCTAAGAGAGTAAATCTTAAGCATTTTCCCACACAAACACACAGAGGTGTGAAGTGATAGATGTGAATTACCTTGATTGTGGGAATCATTTCACAGTGTTCACATACAAGTCATCATGCTGCATACTTTAAATATATATAATTTTATCATTATACCTCAATAAAGGTGGAAAAAATTAATATCAATGGTATTTGTTTTTAAAAATAATTACTTTCCACAATGGTTGAGTAGTCTCTTTTGTGTATAAACTTGTATCATTCCTGTTCCTAAAGCTGATATTTTAAATAGTATTAAATTGTTTTTATTTTTTATTGAGGTATAATGTTCATACAATAAAATAACCCTTTTTAGTGTACAGTTCTGTAAATTTTGACAGATGCATAACACCATTACAATCAAGATACAGAAGTATTCTATAACTCCCTCAAATTTCCTAAGGCCCCTTTGTAGTCAACGCCTCTTCCCACCTTCAACTCCTGGAAAGCACTGATCTGTTTTCTGACCCTAAGTCTTGCTTCTTCCAGAACGTCATGTAAATAGACTCTGGCTTCTTTCACTTCCCATAATGCATTTGATATTCATCCATGCTGTGTGTATCAAGAGTTTAATCCTTTTCATTGCTGAGCTATGAACTCTGAGCCATTTATGGCTGTACCACATTTTGTTTATAGATTTACCAGGCAAAAGACACTTGTGTTGTTTGCCTTTTGGGGTGAAAATGAGTGAAGCCACATATGTTTTGTACAAATAAATATTTATGTACAGGTTTTTGTGTGAACCTGTCTTTATATCACTTGAATAAATACCTAAGAGTGGGATTACTAAACTGCATGTTAGATGTATGTTTAACTTTATAAAAAAGATCAGATTGTTTTTGAAATGGAAATCACCAAGATGAGACGTCACACTCATTCCTGATCACAAGTGGGGATGCAAACTGGGGAGCAGAGACAGGAAAGTAAAGCTCCAGATGCCGAATCTAACCTGTCATCCAGTTCTGTAAAATCGATATATTCTTCCCCCATTCCCCCATCCTCACCTCTCAGAGGAAGTAGGACACCTTTAGCAGCATGCATAAAAGTATACTGTGTTGTGAAGCCTCCCATGCTCTCCATTATTCTCCTCAGTTTATCAGGCAGAATGGCTTATGAGTGGCAATGGCATCTGAGATACAGTAACATCAAGAGAACCCCCACCAATTATTTTGCCTATTACCTTCTTTTCCTTCCCTCTAGAAGGAAGGATAGGACACTGGGGCAACAGCATTAAGTCTGAAGAGAGAAATTATACTGGTGTTGGTTAAGAGATCATGTTTCTTTACCTAGTCTTTCCTGAGTATAAGGAAAACACAAACAAACATGAGACTAGGGAGAAGCAATTAATCCTTCCTACAGTGTCACATTACTTTTGTCTTATGTCTAAAATACACAAATATGCAAAGTTGACTTTTATTATTAACTACTGACCGATTTATAAATGTTATTAGAGCAGAACAGTGTCATGAATAATCCCCAAACAGATTTGCTTCTCCTATGCTGATGTGACGCTTGTAAGGAAATACATACTAGGGACATATTACTTGGCATATGGAGAAACCACCCTGGGGCTAGAAAGCTGAACAGCACACAAGTTAATGTTTATTGTATTAGTCCTTCAAGGGCCTTGCTTCAGAGTCCTGTGGAAAGATTGAAAGGAACTCGGGGAATAAGCGGGGGTAGGATTATCCAAGAAGGAGGTAACTAGACAGTAATGATTTTGGAGGGGTGAGCAAAAGGTTGCAGTAAAAAAAAATGTACCTTTTTTTCTGCAAACTGTCTTTGGTTAAGAGCTACAGAATAACTGAGTTTATTAGGGGCAGAGCAAAAACAAAAGGGGGAGCAGAGGATTTGTTGGACTTAAGTGGATGGGTTTTCAACTTAATATAAAACGAACTTTTCAACAAATAGAGCTGCTCATTCAGAAAAGGTGGCCTTGTGTGACTTGGGGTTCCCCATTACTGGCTGTGTTTAAGACTAAGTGCAATTATCCTGTTATAAATGTAGTAAACAGTATTCATGTACCCTTCATTCTGCAAATGTTTACTCTGTTCAAGGTGCATGCAAGAACATGAAGAATCAAACCTAGATTTGCTCTCTGCCAGTTGTCAATGCAGTGGTTCTTACACTTTAATGTGTATACACATTCCCTTGGGGATCTTGTTAAAATGCAGAATCTGATTCTGTAGGATGGGGCCTCAGACTCAGCATTTCTAACAAGCCCCCAGGTGATGCCAATGCTGCTGGTCACTATAACACATGCTGAGTGACAAGGGTTTCTAGTAGGTAATGAGACATGCATATAATCATAATACAAAGTAAGAATTAGTAAATACCACATAAGTCCCATTAATTATCAGTAGAAACCTGAATCTGCTCCAACAAGACTGTCGTTGCCCTTTTCTACCTAAGTATTCCTTCTGATGGTTCTGTTGCTCTCTTTCTTGAATTTCATTTCTTCTGGGGGTGCTCACTGCAAGTGCTGTTTCTTAGCCTAGAATAGCTTTCTCCTTCTCCTTACACTAATTATAACAATTTGTCAAGATTTATCTCCTGGGACTTCTCTGGTGGCGCAGTGGTTAAAAATCTGCCTGCCAATTCAGGGGACATGGGTTCGATCCCTGGTCTGGGAAGATCCCACATGCCGCGGAGCAACTAAGCCCGTGCACCAACAACTACTAAGCCTGCTTTCTAGAGCCGAAGAGCCACAGCTACTGAAGCCCGTGCGCCTACAGCCCGTGCTCCGCAACAAGAGAAGCCACCACAATGAGAAGCCCGAGCACCACAACAGAGTAGCCCCCGCTCGCCGCAACTAGAGAAAGCCCGTGAGCAGCAACGAAGACCCAATGCAGTCAAAAATAAATAAATAAAAATAATTTTTTAAAAAAAGATTTATCTCCTAATTATTCCCTCTTCCCTGGGGACCCAGTCAGGCTGTCTGCTCCCCATAGCACTTAGTTTTAACCTCGAGCAATTACCACTACTCACTACTACTTCCTTAGCTTTCAGTTGCAAGTCCGTTTTCTTATTCCCTATAGGAACTCACCTCTCCGGGATGCCTGTCGAAAAGACGCTACAAAATGAAAACGTTTGGCGAACCTGAGGCCAGGTGAGGGAGAGGGGAAAAAAGCAATGCCGCTCCACCGGGTGCGCACCAGAGCCCGTGAGGGGACCCCGTGTCCTTCGGTTACCGTCCCCACCCGATGGCAATCCCTGAGGCTCAAGCAACCAAAGATCTCGGTGCAGCCTCGCCAGCGAAGCAGCCCTGGCCCCGCACGCGGTGGATTGCGGAACCGGCGCCCCCGCCTGGCGCTGAAGGCTGCGCGCGGCTGCCCACCATCGAGGCGACGGTGGCTAGAGAGGCCGGCGGGCCCCGGGCGCTGCCGCGGCGCGGCCGCAGGGAACGCGCGCGGGGCGACCCCGCGTCTCTGGCCTTGTAGCCATTTTAGGAGGAAACCCGGGTCGCTAGCCCGGGGCGTGGCTTCAATTTCAATAACTTTATTGGTGGCCTTATCCGCAGAACAGCCATCGCACCATTGGTCCCGGGAGGAGGCAGAGCATCGCGGGAGGTGATTGGGGTGGGAGCGCCCCTGGGCAGTGAGCGCGGAGGGTGCGGGGGAGTTTCCGAAAGCGGGTTTCTTGAGCAGCGGACAACTAAGGGGATTGGGGGTTCCGGGGGTTCCTGGCGGCCAGGGAGGGAGGGCGGGCTCCCCTGCGCGCGGCTTTCCTGGGGCGGGGATTCCCTTGCCCGGGTCCCCAGACGCAGGGGCGGGGCCAGGGGCTCCCCAGACGCGACCGCCGGGGTGTCCCTAGCCCCGTGTTGTTCCGCACGGCAGGTGGCCCCCGACTCGAGCTGCACCGCCATGGGAAACACCACCAGCGACCGGGTGGCCGGGGAACGCCACGGCGCCAAGGCTGCGCGCGCCGAGGGCGCCGGCAGCCATGCCCCGGGCAAGGAACATAAGATCATGGTGGGGAGCACCGATGACCCCAGCGTCTTCAGCCTGCCGGATTCCAAGGTGAGTGTCCCCACGCCCCCAGTTGGTGGCGATGCTGCAGTAGTCTGGGTGTCAGGGCACCTCCTCCCTATTTTGATTTTTTCTTATCACACTGACCTGGGTTACGGTTTTTAGAATTAAAGGCTTTTTTCGGGGACGGAGATATTGAGTGGTAATTCCTTTCGCGGTGCTGTCTCAAAGTAGGATAGAGGCGGAGTTCTTGTTACTCGACTACTCTTTTGGCCACATTTTTAGAATGAGGCCAACAAACCTCCGCCCGGTCGCCCTTGGTTCTCCTAACAGGCACCCTCTTCTAGAGTACTGATGAATTTGTAGGTTGTGAGCCCTGGTGAAAAACTTCAGAGGGTGGGTTTCCCGAGTTGCTGACCATAGGCGGCATTTCCTCACATTTGCCTTGAGGTAGGTAAATGAATTTCTTTTTCCTGATAACTGTTGTGTATCAGTATCATTTTTGCCCTTCTGAGAGCTCATCACTTCAGATCCTCTTCCCCTTTGGCATGGCTGTGAGCAGCAACCACTTGCTAATATGAATACTTTCTTCTAGTCTTGGGGATCAATAAAGGACATTATTTGGTTGACTGCTTAGTTTTCATCTCATACTTTACAGTAGTTTTGGCTGAGCTGCTTCTTTCACGTCCAGCTGCTTCTCAAGTGGGAGAGCAAATAATTCCAGGATTTCTCTAATTTCCGGTAGTACTTCATAATGTTACCGCGGCTGAAAATGGACAACCCACAGTTGCCCTGAAGACCTTGCTCTCAATCAAGGACTTTCAGGAACGTGGCAACTTGTATTCACCCTACAGAAAGGATAGATGGAGCTGACAGCAATGTAATTACTATTCGAATGTTTCTAATCACTTTCAGAGCTGTAGGCATTAAATACATTAATTCCTCCTGGTAGTCTGACTAGAATGAAGTAGAAAAATGGAGGGGTTGGGGAGATTGGGGTAGGTTTGATGTTATCACTCATCCTGTCCCACCCATCTGGGGTTTTATTTTATCTACTCTTGTAAATAGAGAATAATTTGCCGGGTTGATAACATATGAAATGTGGATTCTACTGTTTATTTTCTTGGATCACAATTGAGAACATAATCACAAAGAGATTATGCTCCTCAGCCGTTTACGTCTTCAGAGCTTTCTCAAGGTGATTGTATTTTTACCAGTTTCCTACATTGGTGACTCAGGATTTAAGTACAGTCTATTTGTCAAACTGTGACTGCAGTAATTGGCGTCCTGAATAAAAGCCAGGTTGCTCTGTCTGAAATGGAGCCTATTTTGGATCATTCTTTCCCTTACCTCAGTCTTGACATTTGTGAAATAAGAAAATTGGTTCAAATAATTCCCAAGGTCACTTCCAAATCTAAAATTTTATAGTTCTCAATCTACTCTATTTCTTCCCTCAATGTTTCACTTAAACATTTTTCAATTATAATTCTAATTGTTTTGCCTCTTTTCCTGATGATTTTGCTGACTATTTAACTTGGAGTAAACAATCTTTTTGCTAGTCAGCTGCACTCATGCCTACCACAGAAATGTCATATCATACATGGAAGGGCTTTCTTCCAAAGCTAGGCATATTAATAGTTTGTAGCTTTCAAATTCTAAACTGAAACTATTAAATCATACAAGTAAGTAATAGAAACAGTGGCAGGCGGGCCTACATTGCTTCAAATGCCAGCCTTCTTTGGTTTACTAGTTCAATGGTTTTCAGTCCTATTTGCACATTAGACTCACCTGAGATTTGTTTGAACACTGCATAGAAAATTTGAAACATTTTCCATGTTTCAAAGTCAGGAGAACAGTGTAATGAACTCCTGTGTTAACTGTCATCCAGTTTAAACAATGATCAAATCATGAATGAATTTATGTCACCTATACCCCAATCCACTCTTCCTCCACCAATTATTTTGAAGCAAATCCCAGACCATCATATCAAATATTACTTTATTTGTAAATATTTTAGGATGTATCTCTAAAGATGAGGTTTCTTTCTTTAGTTTTAATATAATTTCAGTATTATTGTCTGGGAAGCTTTTTAAAAGTAGATTCCCGGACCTTATATCTGAATCAGAATCTGAGGCATATGTAATTGTTAGGCATATGTAAACATTTCTGTAATTCTAATGCAGCCTGTCAAATAAGAGTTCACTGCTTTGAGAAAATGGAGATCAAACTTTTCTCTTAAGCCACTTATATAATGTGAAAGTTCCTTCAATTCTCTTTCTCTGCTTGCTTTGGATTATGCTGCTACTGGTATAGTGTAGTTTTGAGGAATATTGAGAGAGTATGGAAGGTAGTCTGCCTCAGCCATTTTGAAAGTAAAGCCCAAATGAATAAACTAGTCCTTTTTTTTTTTTTAACCCACATTATTTTATTTGGGAATATTTTGGCTTGGTACCATATAGTCTTACTTACCAAAGTTATTTAAGCCAATCTGAAGTGGGGGTGAGCAAACTTTTTCTATAAAGGGCCAGGTAGGTAATATTTTAGACTTTGCGGACCATACAGTCTCTGTCACAACTACTCACTTCTGCCATTGTAGCATGAAAGCAGCTGTAGAAAATGAGTAAGTGAATGAGTGTGGCTATTTTCTGATAAAACCTTATTTGTAAAAGCATCTGGCTCACTGGCCATAGTTTGCCAATTCCTGTTCTGAAGGATGGTAATGAAAAGAAACTAAGTAAGGAGTCAGTTGTTTTTCCGGAATCCTACATACTTCATTTGATATTGGAACCACTTTTTTAAAGGAAACTGTGTTTTTGATCTGATGCTTCTTGGGGCTCCAGAATTTTCATCCCTACTCCTGAAATAGCTAGTACAAACCTGGCATAGGTGAGCAAGTAAGATTTCATAACCATTTCTCAAAATTTATGAAACCAATGATCTGATTTATATATATATATATATTTTTTTTTTTTTTTTTTTTTTGCGGTACGTGGGCCTCTCACTGCTGTGGCCTCTCCCACTGCGGAGCACAG